AGCTGGGTATGAAATGATTGCTCCGGTAAGTGAATACTGCAGTCGTGCTTTTGTCGGGTCATTTCCTTCCATCGTCGGGTCTTTGGCTTACATCGTTCGGGTCGATTGCCTACAACCCGCGTATTACCCGACCAGATGCGCCAGCCGTCAACCGTCCGCCGACAATGGTGCTCCGCTCACTTCGCGAAGCGTTCGAGTCTGGACCTCTTCTCAAGTCAGCTCAGAATTAGGCACCCTGGTTCTAGACAACGAACGTCGTTCTGTATGAGGGCGGTAGGCATCCACTGCATGCATGTTATCAGAGTTTTGTCAACTTCTCTTTAGCATTATCCGTATCTATCGTGTATGCCGAACTACTCCTCTTCTTCTCCATGTCGAGCCCATTGTCTTTATTAGCGCTCTGCGCCACGCTGGCCGCAAGTCTCGTGATTTTCCTAGTGTACAAGATCGAAGTTCACCCACGTCTCTTCAACGCGTTTCGACATCTCCCCACAGCCAGGGTAAGACATCACCATAACGTGCCCAAGACATTACTGACTAAGTCATCGTAGGGTGGACTACCATTCCTCGGCCATGGACTCCTCCAGTTCACCAATCCCCGTGGTCAAGCCTATCTGGACATGGCCAACTCTATACCGAACCAGGGCTTGATTCATTTCTATGGGTTCATGAACGTCAGTCATATCCTGCTAGTCAGTAATGAGGCCCTATCTGAGGTACTGGTTCGTCGCGCATATGCTTTCACCAAGCCAGCGGTAGCTCGACGATTGCTCAGCCAAATCCTAGGACCATCGCTTCTCATCTTGGAAGGCGATGAGCATAAATATCTCCGAAAACGTATCCAGCCGGCCTTTGGCCATCGAAACGTCCAAGATCTTTGCCCACTTTTTTGGTCGAAAGCTATTGACATGGTGGAAACAATGGAACAGTCCGCTGCTTCACCTGACTCAACGGACTTTGTAGTGGATGTCCTGCCTTGGGGCAACAAGGGTACCCTCGATGCCATCGGTTTGGCGGCATTAGGAAAGGATTTCAACACACTACGGGAACCAAATGAGCTTACCGATTTATATGAGCTCGTGACTGGTAGCAAAGAAGGCGTGCGTCTACTGTTCATTGCCAATGCTTTGTTGCCGGCCTGGTTATTAAGACTCTTACCACGCAAGTTCAACCGCGATATCGAGGATGCTCGCATCAGGCTGCGACAGCTTTGCAGTACCTTTTTAGAAGAGAGAAAGAAAGAAGTCACTGAAGACAGTGGCCAAAAGGCGCTCTTACTGCAGCTCATACAAAGTGGAACACTGACGGATGACGAACTTGTTGGCCAGCTCTTGACCATCATCGGTGCAGGGTATGACACAAGTTTAGATGATTTATGATGATATCATACTGACCGCAAGATAGGTACGAGCCAACTTCAGCGACTTTGACCTGGACTCTCTGGCTGCTTGCCACCCAACCAGCCTGGCAAGACAGTCTCCGTGCCGAACTTCGCAGCCACATCCCCTATCGCTTCTTCGCCAACGACGCAGAAAGGTTTACTGAATTCGCTACCCTCGACACTCTCCCCATCCTCAATGCCGTCGTGAACGAAACGCTCCGTCTCATGCCCACCTCGCCCATCACCTCGCGCGTCGCCACAGAAGACACCACCGTTCTCGGCACTGCCATTCCAGCTGGAACACGTCTTTGGATCGTTCCCGCTGCCATGAACCGGTTTGCATCCTTCTACGGCGAAACGGCCGATGCATTCGATCCAGGCCGATGGATTGATGAAGACAGCGGCCGAGCTAACAACCATGGTAATGCCCATACCAATTATGCTTTCCTTACTTTTCTGCATGGACCGCGGAAGTGCATTGGAGCGGGATATGCCAAGGTCGAATTACGAGCTTTCATCGCCGCCTTTGTGGGTAGCTTTGAGTTTGAGATGGCGGACAAAAGTTATGTGCCTCAGCCTGCGGGTATTACGGCTGTCAAGCCACGGGATGGTTTACCCTTAAGACTGAAGCGCACAAAAGCCTGGTAATGAGTTGCAATCATCTTGTAAGATGTTTTTGGGGCATGTGATGGTGAAGATAATGGAAATAGGTAGCTTGGACGGATACAGGAAACAACGTTGGGACATTTTGATACTTACACGCCATGAACTAGAGTAAATCACCTGTTCTAGTGCTCCAAGTGTGTCGTGATTCATTCCTAACTGATATGGGAAGAAACTTGGTTGCTTTTTGTCCGTTACCTGGCATCCAGTAGATGACAATGACCGCTTTGTCACATACATATCCAACATCCAATCATTTCTTGTGTTACTCCGACTGCGGTGGGAAACACAGGTACAAATACACCACGGGGATTATCTTCGAGCATAACCGACCCAGGATATACACTGAACAAGATAGGGACAATCAATGCAACATGAGACAGTTTGTTGATAGATAGGTTAACGGCTGAACGAAGAAGGGTCATTTTGACTCCACTAAGGGACGTGGGAATGCCGCGGGCAAGAGACTCGTTAGTGAGCGGTCTATCCATCGGATCTTTCTGCGTTATTTCTTCCAGCCCTCGAAGTCTCCCAACTACGAGCATGACCACTTTTCTCACATCTTTGCCGATACCCTTACCTTCAACCCTTTATCCATAAACACGCCGTAACCGATGTTGTCGCACGGCTCAAACGGCTTCACTAGCTGTAGGTCGAACAAGCGAAACATCTGTTCAAGTTCAGCGACCATCACGCCAAGACTGTTACACATATAGGAACATACCTCGAATACCACTTTTGCAATGTCCATCATAGCAATATTCTTGCCCGCACAAACCCAGCCCCCATAACCAAACACCATCTCAACGTCTAGCTCCATCTGCCTGCGTGTCTCTTCGTCTGCCTCCGTGAAGCGCTCTGGACGGAATACGTCGGCATCGGCGCCGAACAAAGCCGTTGACTGCAGCATGGATGACATGTTCATGCATACAGCGGTGCCTGGGGGTAGCAATTTCTCGTGAAAGATGGGTGATTCGTCCAGGGGTACGATTTTAGGAAAAAGACCTAGGATGGGTGGGCGCATACGGAGGCCTTCGTAGATGATTGCCTGCAGATATGGCAATCTCCGTGCCTGATCCAAGGTTATAGGGTATGAGACGTTCTCCGCGCGTACCGCGTTCTGAATCTCGGCGACGAGGCGATTGTATACCGTAGGTGAGCTCATGGTATGTACCAGGATAGAACGCATGGCGTTGGCGGTGCTCTCACTCCCAGCTAGCAGGAGGAATAGGCCTTCGGATTGGCACTCTTCCTCTGTGAAGCCCTTAGCCATAAGTGAGGCCTATACGAAGACTGTCAGCTCGACAATTTCCATGGATCAGGTGTACATGGAAGGGAAAATTGGGGCGGAAACTTGCCAGAAAGTCCTTGTGTCCACCATCAGGTGCTGAAAAGCGACGACCGACCCATTCAGCTGCGAAACTAATACAACATCAGCGGAACCGCTCAACTAAAACCCAAGACGAGTATCCAGAGTCCAGGCTCGCTGTGACGTACCCCATGAGCGCTCCAAAGCCCTTCGTATCACTGGTTTTTGGCCCCACGAACTTGAGTACAAAAGGCGAGAACAAAAACTTGCGAATCCAAGGTACATCAGCCACCGTCGACATTCTCGGCCAGAGCTCATCCACAGTTCCAAGGAAGTCGTAGTGATCCTTTTCGTCTTCGAGATAGCCAACTGCTTTGCCAAACCCCATCCGTGTGATGACATCCATGGTGAAATAGGACGTGATGGCCACCAGATCCAGCAGCGGCTGACCGTTTCCTGGCGAAGCTACCACGTAGCGATTTCGAATAACGTCTATGAAGATCTTGACCTGCTCATCGATTATGCCTTCAAGGCCACCAGTATCACGCCCGTTGTACGCCGCCATAGATCTGGCTTTCGCCTTCTTGTGCGCTCCTGGGTCAATAATCGTAAACAAGTTGTCACGATACGGATTGAAGCGGCCGGCGTGATACCAGTCGCTGCGAGCGTAATTGCTCCGCGTGGACGAGACAGTGCGCAGGACGTTGGGGTCGTCAGTGAGGACTTCGTTGGGCCCGATGCGCACAAGCGGGCCATGTTTAGCGTGGAGATCGCGAAGGACCCAGTATTGACGACCGCTGTAGGTGGTACGACCTAGCCAGTAGTAGGAGAATGGTGCAGTGATATGCGCACTAGGAATGTGTCGCAGACGCTTCCACGTTCGAATGTAATTCTGCGCCACCCAGATAACGACAAGAACTATTGCGATATGCCATATTGACTGTCTTCTTATGTGAGCACCAACCAGCCTGTAGCGAGGCTGGACATATTAAAGTCGATCAGTTTTATCTTTCTGGATGGTAGTGGCATAACGAACTCGACATACCTCAGGAGACAGCTCTTCCATCATTTACGGACACTGATATTTCTGTCGCTTGGGTGTGATCAGTTGATTGTTGGTAGTGGTGGGAGAGTAGGAAGAAAATTCAAGGACGTTTGTTAGATAATATCCTAACACAAACTGAAAAGTGAAGCGAGTCGAAGTAGGCTAGTGATAGCAGGTGATAATGAAGATAGTTCGGGATGAGCCCACCGCTCATGCAGGAGATAAGCACGAGGTAGGCGCCCTCCTTCTAGGGAAAGGGAAAAAAGGTAACCAAAATCGCAATTCGATGTTACAAAGCTCAACTGAAATTGAACCAATACGCTTCTGGAGCTTACTCGGCTCCGAGCCGAACGAGTATGACAATTGTCCCGGGGCATATGGATCATTGATTTCGGTACATACCAAATCGTACGGGTTTCGGACAAACCATCAGCATACTCTGCATGGTCGTTGGCCTGAATAGCAATTGCAATTTCCCTGCCGATGAGAGTTTGAGGATTGCAGATGCAATGTCAAGAGCCCGGCAGATATCAGGTCGTTTGTTGCTGGTTGTGGATTGCATAAAAACATCACGTACACACATCTGCTGGTCGTAGCGTTTCTGCTTAGATCACGGTGTCATTTGAAATATCGTATTGGATGCCTGTGAGATGGTGATTCCTTGATATGCCGCACTATGTGTGGTTGAATTCCAATTGAAGTCTCTCCATAAAAGAATTCCCCCAATGCGATACGAAAGTGTTCCACAGATAAGACGAACGACCCAACGCTTTGTTGACTGGGAAGAGGATCGTAACTTCGTGTATTGTTACCTCATGTTAATATTGAACCAGAATACAGCGACCTGCGCTCTCCTGGATTTGGTGTTGAGAGTCTCTTGGGAAGTAGCTTTCTTCCTCTAAGATGCGCCCCTCATCTCCAACATCCCAAACATCTGTTGCGCTGCAGCTCCAGTATCGACTGCTGCTGACCGCATCCCATCCAAAAGCGTACTCTTGGTCTGGATGTCGAGCACTGCCAATTCTCGTGCTGTCTGGACGACTCGTCTGAGGCGAAGCTTTACTAGTGCCTCAAAACATGAGTGTGACATCTCTTTACTCAGTGTCAAACCACCAATCGTCAGGTATGTGACTTGACTATTGAGCGCGCTCACTGAATTCGACTCACGTATGTACGTCTGCAGATGCTCAATTACCCAGCTTATAGAAGTACAAAACATCATGCTCACGTACGGCGAGTTGAAGGAGCATTGCGCGCACGTAGAGATTGTGTCCTTTGTCCTGTTTAACTGTTGCTCCACAGCAAAGACAACGTCTAGAGTAGTGGGTTTCGCAAGCCGAAGACTAACCAAGTAGATGAGCTGACTCAATTGGGAAGAGCATTGGCAATCCACATCCTTGGATAGGTCGAAGAGGAGGTCTGAAGCAGTTGTATCAGAAGAAATGGGATCCTTGGAAAAGCCGGTTACGTGTGTAAGAAGGATTTGATCGTCCTGGTATGTGGTCTGTCGGCCTATCTGGCTCATGGGTGGTGATGGCTCTTGCGTTGGTTCTCCGGCAATGACACCGGCGCCGAACTTCGTACCATTGAGCATGACCTGACTTGACGGAAGACCCCACATCTGCTCCACAGAACCTGAGTGGTGACCGTTTGTGCAATCTGGATCGACTCCACTTGTACCCCACTCCCATAGCGAAAGATCATCCATAGATCCAAAGTCAACTGTGTCGGCATCATGTGGCAGTTCCATTGACATGTTCGTAAATGACCCTATGGAAGCCATTCCTGGCGATAATAGAACCGTGCGTGCCTTTCCATCTCTTGTATCGTTTTGTTGAGGGGTGCTCCGAGTCGAATCGTGACGCTCTGTCGGAAGCAGCGAGTCCGCCAGGGTTGAAGAGGGTGTTAGAGGCGCCGTTCCCCGCTTCACTCGCACTGTACCAACAGCGTTTTCCGTACCGTACGACCCCACTTCATCCGAGATCACAGATGTTTGACGCCGCCTGCCTGGACGGCGTGCTACGCTGTAGTTGCAGTCTTGTTGGCAGCCTCGGTCGACGCAACGTTGACAGACTGGTTTTTCGCGACTACATTTGAGCTTCGAAAGTGTGCATATATCGCAAGAGTTCCGCAGCCGGCGGAAGCCCAGACGCGATGGTTTCATGCTGGCAGCTTCGCGATGCTTGTTTGCGTTATCTTTTAAAACGGCAATAGGACATGTGTAGCGTGTGCAAAAGTTAAAAGTTGGCCTCGAATAGATTGATATGAAAGACGACTGACTGAACGTGTTGTAACATATACAAAGTGACAATCACGGGCTTACAAGATGAAACTCGATTCGAATGCACATATGCGTTTGCCTGACTAATTAGCAAGGGACCAACAAACGGTACTGCGCACTCAACAGCTCTAGGGATCCATGGCCCATTTGGAGTATGTGCAAACTTTGTGCCACAGTAGTAGGGCTGACAACAACCAAGTGAGGCTCGAATGCCCACTGCATAAGAGTAAGGACCCCAGAATGGTCGATGAGCCAGCTATAGAACGTTTGCGCCGGCCGTTTCCCTTAGTGCTATGACTGCCGCTAGCCACTCACCGTTACCGAGTGCGAATCCCCCTTGTAAATCCGGAGATATTTCCGCTGACGCAAGACACACACGTCAAGTTCACAAATCCTGTCTCTTATCATCCTTTTACTGTCGTCGCCTAGATAAAACGCTCCTGGACACTGGTTTCTGGCCTGATCGACACTAAAATCTAGTTGCCGGTACTTGTCGTCGATCATGGCACGCCGCTGTATGGAAGTCAGGCTTATATATATATGACTGCTTTTCGTACTCTATGAATGCATTTTCGGTCGAAAGCACTCGGTCGAAGCAGCTATCGCTGACGACCTCGCTCATACGTAGGCAATAAAGCGCCTCGATGACAATGGATAGTGCCGAGACATAAGCTGAGGTTTCACTCCGCATCCCTCGAATGGACGTCCATGCTACGTCTTCCGTCTCCGAGTAGGAGATCTTCATGACACAAACACTTCCGGATCTGCCGTCGCATTGATGATTCCGCGAACCATTCTGTAAGTACGTTGGGTAAGAATATACCGGCTTGGTGCCGACATGCCTTACAAATGGCATTGGGCAATCTGGGTTGCGCCAAAGTTTTCCCTACGAAACGTCTCGTTCGATCTCGTAGGAGACGTCACTCTCTGGTAGCTAACTTCCTCGTTATAACCAATAACCCCAACCGTCGCGGACGGCAGCGTTTCGTGAAGCTTTAGTCAGAAGTCGGCCTCGGGGACCGAGCTTACCTAGCAACGTTCAGGGCTGGCAGTCCCTTGCGATGGAAGGTCCAGATTTAGCACGCCATATCTTGCCGCGAGTGTTGTACAATCAACGCTCTGATTGCAGCTTCATTGCCATCTTAATTACGAAGTCGAACATGGGTCTTGCTATCGTGTGTTCTTGGTAACGGGTACCGCGGCCGAAACACCGGTGTCTGCGTCAGTACTCGTAATGCACATGCCTAAAAGCATAGGAAATGTTTCGTCCCGATTACAACTGTACCTAGGTAGCTGACCTGAGCTTGGCGATTATGGTATCTCAGGCAGGTCAGAGTCGTGAGTTTTGGGGAAGCGGGGAAATGGTGGACTCGATACAGATCTGATTACGGCGCGTTGAGTGCACAAGCACCGAGGTCCGTGTCCTCGGATGTGTCTCCGAGATCACCATGGACAGAACCTAGTCAATCTCCTTGCACACGCATCATAATGATACCCCGAAACATCAACTACGACTCACACACTGAAGAACATCGGGCATCAACGAGTCGCTGATCAACTTCCAGGTTTTTGAGGCAACTGCATGCTGGTTGTACTTACGTGCAGGCGCGAAGATCGCGTTTCATGTACTAGCCAAGGTTTCTGGTACCGCGTTTACACACGAGTCTGAAATAGATCATGGCTTAAATTATGACAGCGATGTTGAGAGCATCACGAGATAAGCTTTGTCTGCTCACTGTAAGCAATGATTTCCGCCTTTTTGCTTCACATTCAGCTCCGCGGCACCAGTACAAAGCATCACTTCCGGCTGATGACCTTACAAATACTATGCGTTCAATCTCTCTCTTTATTCCCAAATAATTCGCAGTAGCATCGCTTTGATCTATTCTGGAGTCAGAGATGACCATTAGGGTATAGCATCCGGGCCAAGCAAAAGACCTTGCCTGTCATATTTGCTAACTACATATACAGGGACCTCTGTCAAGCGACCAGACAAGGCAATGCATGTGTCGAGGACACGAGAACGACATCAGCATTGAAGTACGGGGCCCTGTCGCAGCCTACAGTACACTAGAGAAGGTGCTGCAACTTGATCAGAAGCTATCAAACCTACATAGTGCCATGATGGAGTGCAGCACATGTGCTTCAGATCCAACGCGCACTACGACTCTTCTTCGCGAACTGGAAATCCTTTGTACCCTTTACGTTGCAGGGCAGGCAAAGTTTGCGCCATCGGGCGTTCCTATTGACAAAGATAGCAATGAAAGCCGCGCTGAGCTTGGCGACAGCACCTTCCAATTAAGCCGATACGTGTTGGACAGCGAGGAGTGTAGAGTTGTGGGTCGCATTGTCGTGAAGCAAGGGCTGGATCACCTTCAAAAGAAGCTGCAGATCGTGCAGGCGGAGCAGAGGCGGAACAATTGTGCCACAATGCAGAACGAGATCAGTGCGAAAGTTCAGGGGATACTTTCGAAAGTATGGGAGGCTTCCGCATATGGATGTTTGTAGACACGGGGGATTCGCGAGGGCGCGTCCAGCGTCAAGGCCGTGGTAGCTAAGGTACTCGATCAAAAATGAAGCACTGTTGATCAAATTATAGCGGTGATGCATAACCCATGCGGAGACCATTCTCGGGGCTTAGCATCGGGGAGATGCGGGCTATATCACAAGTTGACCACCATCCCATCTGACCAGGGATGCACTTAAGCCGCCGAGTCCCACGTGAGCAACACATACCATACAATTTAGAGAGCAAGTAAAAATGAAATCGACGGTACCTACCTACGAACTATGCGTACCCGCACTTCGAAAAGCGATGCAAAACCATCTGGAGGTTTTGAGGAAGGCTGAGGCATGGTGCGACAAAAACGGGTATCCGCACTCGAAAGCCTTGGGGGCTAGACTCGCTCCAGATATGCATGTACGTATCGCGTCGACTTGTCACCTAGAGAACAGAACATAAAGTTAATGATGCTTCAACTACAGCCTCTCGCGCTTCAAATCTTTTTCCAGGTTACCACCGCTACAAGGGCACTCCAGCGCCTTGCCGGCATGGAAGTACCCACGTTCAAGTTCGACGCAGCCTCTTTCCAGGATTTGTACACGCAAATCGATCAGGCCTTGGAATGTTTCGAGAAGGCACGCCCGGAGGCATTCGAGGGAAAGGAGGATATGCCCGTGGTTATCGACGTACCCAACATGTGGCATTTCGATCTGAACGGCTTGACGTATTTGCAGGAGTTTGTTCTCCCAAATTTGTAAGTGCTCTCATGGATTTCTCCACGTCTAGCCGGTATACTGATATAGCCCTCGTTTTGACAGCTTCTTTCACAATGTGACGGCTTATGGCATCTTGCGGAATCTTGGGGTACCGATTGGGAAGATGCATTATCTTTCGGGTGAAGACCGACTCATTGGGGCTTGATGGCACATTATCAAGATCAGGAGGATGTTGTGGAAGGCGTTGTAGAACTAGAAAAGGTCAAACATGAGCTATTCACAATAAATGCTGTCAAGAGGCGTGAAAAGGAATAGACGAGTTTTTCTAGAATGGATTGTATGAAGATGAATGATGCGACTGACCTATGGCATGTGTCGGAGATCGGAGTTTCATTCGCCGTGACCGGGTTCCGCGGGGAAGCTTGACGTAGCGCGTGTCCCACGTGGAGCGTCCAGGCCCACTACCAGTTGACCACCAACAGTCAGGCATCCCGTCTCAAAGTACGAACCATCTGACGCCTCTAGAAACCGCAAACCCAGCACCAATTGCTCGCGTACTCGCACACAATGGACAATCTACTCACGCAGAAGACGCCTACTGCGCTGGCAATCGCGCAGGCTGTAGGCATAACGGGGAGCGTGTTCTTACTAGGTAAGTTACGCCAGGGATGAAGGCGCATACCCAAACTTGAAAAGCCTTCATATACATTATACAGCATGGCATGACTGACAAGCATGCTAGGATCCAATGTATGCCTTTCGGTAGTCGGCATCCCCGCCGCAATGCAAGCCCCCGCTCCCCTCGCAGTAAAGCAATGGCACACAATCTTCACACGAGGCGGCGCAATCGCGAGGCCATTAGCCATTGTCTCAGCTCTAGCAACCGGGTACTTGGCCTATAACCGTACGTCACACCCCATGTCCCTCCAATGCGCGTCAATACTTCAACACTACACCCCACCCGTCTACCCACTCCCCGACCATCTCACGTGCTAACATCCCCAACAGAAGATCCCAAATCCACACCTTTTCGCCTGAACGCTCTCGCGACCATCCTCCTCCCCAGCATCGTCCCCTTCACGCTCCTCGCCATGGCACCCACCAACGACAAGCTTCTAGGCAAGAAGGACGAACTCGCGACCGCATCGTTGAGCAACAAGAACGTCGAAGCATTTGCCGCCGAGGGCGAGACAGTACACGAGTTGATGGACAAGTGGGCGAGTCTGAACATGGCGAGGGCAATGCTGGTGGCTGTGGGAGCAGTGTGTACCGTTGCGTCAGCGGTCGTGGGAAGGAGGGAGCTTGTAAAGTTTGGTGGCCGGTGGTAAGGCATGGATGAGACAAGATAGGATATTGATATGATTGATGGGTCAAATGTAACATGGGGGATGTGATGAGGCACGACTATCAGAATATATCTGCACCAAAAGCCTCCTTTGCCGCACCAAAAACATACTTTCAATCTGCCAAACTCCAGGAAACTAGAAGCGGGAGCAGCCGAAGACTTTGATAAGGTGAGGCGCTAGGCAGGGGTGCTGTGATGCGACAGAGGTGGTTGGCTATTAATCCGAGTGAGGGCTCATTTATCCGGTCATATATCTTAGGGTAAGCTGGTCTGACAGGGCGTATGGGTCAAGCATCTCGCTAGACGGCTAAGCATGTTGGTGGAGTAGCTTGTCTGTACCTTCTGTCGTCAGCTCGTGTTTGAATGGCACATAGGCACCGCTCGTCGAGCAATATACGTTTCGAGCGATGGGCGAAGATCGCCTGAAGACTGGATTATCCGGCTGGATGATGCCTCTGTCGACACCATAGCATGTCTCTTCCGCACCGCCTCGTTCGCCTCATAATGAAAAAGAGGTATCCAGGACGAACACATGACTACAGCACCCGAGAATCCAGAGGTATGGAGTTGGGGTCGGTGTCCGAGGCCACTTGAGAGGTGATAGTTGTGAGAATGCAATGTGCCTGACGAAGAACATGCAGCAGCAAGCTTACCTAGGTAGGCTGGAAGCATGATCTGCATGTACTGTATAACAGTTATAGACATGGAAAAACACGAGTACGAAGCGACCGGGCGATGCTATCGGCCGATGCCTGCTGCAAACAAGCGATGTTGTTGGTCCGGTCTCAGATGGTCCGGTTATGGTCCTTCTGGTCCTTCTGGTCATGGGACTATGGACTCAATGATCCTTCAGTGAGATTTAGCGGTCGGTCACCGACTGGCCCAACAAGATCACTGCTGTGAAGCCATACGGCCATATAGAATTCCAGAGGATTATATATCAGGCGACAGTTGACGCGGTAGGTCTTGCAAACTACCTTCTCGCTCCTCAAGAACCTTCATCTTCATACTATTCATACACCTGAATTTGCTTTCGAGACTTTCAATCCTGTACGAGCACATCGTACTTTGGGAGATAGCCGACAACTAGACTCAACGCAAACAGCATGAAGCTCGCCGCTGCTGGGGCCCTTATGCTCTTTGCTCGCTCAGTCATGGGCAAAGGCTGTCCCGATGGCCAGATTGGTGTTGGCACCGTACAGACCTGTTTGATCGTCAAGTTCGTCCTTACCTATACATTCAATCGCCAGGGTGCCTGGACGAGACTACGAGCTGACTTCTATCTCTAGCAACATGCAGACTCAGTGCTCCGCAACGCAGGGTGTCGTCTTTGGAGAAGGCAACTGCGACCAAGCCGATATCGAGAACATGTTCCAGAAGGACGGATATTGTCAGCCTAGAACTTTCCTTCATGGTGCCAAGGTTTTCTGCGAAGACGATGATATGACCGTCACGTCTGTTGCGTACAATCTAGCAACTTGGGGGAATTGCAAAAAGCAAAATATTGATTGTTCCGCTGGAGCACTTCAGTACTTGTATATTAGTTACTGTTGCGAGAAGATGTAGGGCTGAATACGTCACTCAAGTGTTGCCGCGGCCAAGGTACGGAAATTATGTATGCTAGCAAAGAAGTATCTGCCTGCACAAGAAATTTATACGAAGCTGATGGTTTCTTTGTGTGTCATCTGCTTTTTTATTCCATTGGCACTGTTTGTAAAATGAAATCATGTTCCCTCCATACAAAAGAAGCCTTCTTTACCACACCGAAAACTTACTTTCAATCAACCAACCCTGGTCAGAGTAATATCATCAAACCACACATACCCCGTCTGCGCAGTCTGCAAACAGCTCACTACAATCCTCACATAGTTCCTACTATCCGCTGCCAGCGCAGCCGTACCACTAAACTTCGTCCACTCCTGCACCTCGACTTGTCCATACTCCTTCTCGATAAGGCCCGTCAAAGAGATGTAACATGGAGCTCCAACTGTACCATCGACTTTGACGCTGAAGGATGCCGTGTAGGTGCCTGCTTCGCTGACTTGAGGTATTTGACGCGCGCTGGCGAAGAGGCCGGCTCGTCGGGTCACGCGGACGCTCTTGCTACCGTACTGCGGATCGGACGGGGCCACGGTGGAGTATTCACCAAAAGGGAACAGAACCCAGGGGTCAGTTGTAGCGTCTTCGAAGCCAGGGTTTACAACGAGCTGCGTGGGTTTTGGTGGACTTGGACTTGGGGTGGAGGACGTTGACGATGACAGGTCGAGTGTTGTTGTCGTCGAGGGGGTATCGCTGGTTGTGGGGGAAGCTTCAGTCGAAGTTTCTGTTGGAGTTGGAGTTGGAGTTGGAGTTGGAGTTGGAGAGGTCGGAGAGGAAACGGGCTCTGTTGCGGACACAGACGCACTGGTCGTCATCTCGCTGGATGCGGAGGATGTGTCTGAAGGGACAACAGGCGAAGAAGATGATGATGAGCTCACAGCCTCTGGGGTAACAGCTGGATCTGATGAGATTGACGTGATACTGCTTGACATCTCTGCCGAGCTGTACGATGTGGATGATATATCCGTCAAGGACGAAGATGATGACGGAAGCACAGAAGTGACAGTGACCAACGACGCACTGTGTTGGGTGGAAGAAGGCGCGGTACTTGAGGAAGATACAGCTTTGCAATCGCCGAACCCTTTCTGGCAGGTCTCAGGTGCACAATATGCGTCTGTACTTCCACAGTACGAGTACTGACTGCAGCAATTACCCCACTTACTTCCTTTGCAGGTCTGTCCGCCGAAAGTAGCTCCACATCTGGCATTAGTGGAGACTCGCTGCGAAGTGGCAGAGGCGCTGATTATCGGTTGGGTGGTTGTTGTAGATGGAAGTACCAAGATACTCGAAGGCCCGGCCGGTGTAGCCTTGCAGGAGCCAAACTTAGTCTGGCAACCCGATCCGCAGTACGCATTGCTATTACCACAATACCCATACTGGGAGCAGCAGTTGCCAAACACACTACCCAAACAGGTCTGGCTTGAACCGACGCCACATTTGCCGTTGGTCGAGGTCTTCAGTTTCGAAGGCGTGGGCGAGGAAGACGATGTAGGGGGTTGTTTCGATGGGGAAGAGGACGTTGAGCAAGAGCCGAAGCCTGACTGGCATCCCTTAGAGATGTAGCAGTGCTCCTCCGTTCTTCCACTACGGAGTCTTAGCGAGGTCTACCAGAAGAATAGGAAAGTGCAGAGTGAAACGTACCACCACCCGTACTGTGAGCAGCATGGTCCAACACTGGTAGATTTTCCAGGACAAACAAGTCCTCCAAACCCTTTACCACACCGCGCGTTCTGAGAGATCGTGGCTGCGAAAACTTCAGAGCCCAAAAGGAGAGCTGTGCCTGTAAAGAGTGTGCTGATTCGCATGATGAAGGCTTAATGAGTGAATGAATGAACGTAGTGGATTCGATCGCTGGAAGACAGTTCAAAAGAGTGTATGAAGCAATAAAGCCAGACCTTGCCTACACGATCTACTAGGTTTTCTCGACTTCATTATATACACAGCCATAAATATCTGCCCAGCTCATCATTAACCTGCTATAACTAAGATGGCATGATCCATAGCAAGCCACCAATATCACTGACATTGTCCACAACTCGTGCAGCGCCACATGCAGTGAATTTACGTGACAGCGACGCTTCGCTAGTAGTGTTATGCCGAATTGAGTCGTGGTTCTGGTGCTAAGCTTGCGCCACGGGTGTAGCCGCACGCTAGCGCAGTCGAAGAGCCCCTGATATCGCTACAAGGGGTTGGAGTATCGGCTACTCCGTGGCGAAGAACTGGGGAACATGGATCGCGAAGAAAAGATCTAGATGCTGCACGGAGCACAGTCGCGAAAAAGCGGTTCGATCTGGCCCTCGATCTTGATTCGATACATGACTAAGGAGAACCGGGGTTAAAGTTATAATGTACCCTCGAGACAGACGCAACAACAAAACGACAGGTATGACATGCATTGGGGTGGTAGTCATGTACACACACTCCTATTTAAAGCCAGTGAATCCCATCATCCGATATGCGGGAAATATTGCGACCATCGAGGGGTTCCGAAAGCCGAGTCGGGAAGATGAAATACGTCCAGGAAACATTCCACAATGATGAAAACTCTCGCGAAGATGTAGAGAGGTGCGAAAAGACAATAGCCCACCGTGGAGGCATGACCGGAAGCCTTTGCCGCAAATCTCCACACTGTACGATCTATTTGTCGGTTAATGGCCGCGAAGTTTTGCGCCAATTCCAATATCATGGCAACTATGCCCGAAACCAGAATTGTAATGCTGCTCGACTTCCAAAGCAGTTCGTCGGTTCTACCACGAAAAGGTCGATTCCAGACAATGAGATGCACACCGCCGTAAAAAAGGCCTGCTAGAAGGAATCCTACCACGAGAAAATTGAGCCCGGGTTTCGGCTCGTCAGCTCCTACGAGCGCATACATAGTTTCGGAACGATTCCTCGAACGTACATCGAAGAAGGAACACTTTTCACCCGTACGTAATGAGTACCTCCTAGCAGCCTGTGAGGCTAGCTTGAAGCGGTAAAAGTCTAACTCGGTCAACTGTTCGTACCTCTCTCCATTAGCTGAGAGCTTCATGTTCTTGCGGAAAACAAAGCCGTGATATACAAGAGAACCTTTCGATCGAAATTTCGGATCCTTCGATGGCTTTAGCGAGATATGCTGAACTTTAGGATGAAAGACGGCTGTTCCAGGGTCAGTCGAAGAGTCCACAATATCGTTGTCTTCAGTATTGTCCAAATCGACTGGTGAAAAGCGGACGCGCGGGTACAGTCTTTGGACAGTGTCGAAGGCGGCGATGGGATGTAGATCTGCGTGTGTACAAACGGTTGGCTCCTGAACATCAAGTGGCTTGTTCCACCAAAAGAAAAGGTACAGAGTCAGGGCACAGGCAGCATGGATGGCAGTATTAATCTCCAAGAGTGAGATCGAAAGACCCAGTGTCGATCGAGTTACGCACTGAATGCCAAACCACAGCGCCTGGGCGATAGTTATCATCTTCGTGAACATGCTTGCTTTGCTCTTGTCTTTTATTGCAGAAACGGAAAGATCCGGGAGGATGTCAGGATTATAATCAGCAATGAATGTGAGGCCCCTTAGTGTTAACGTCATCCTTTGCCGTTCCCGGGGTAGATAGTCGTAGCCTAGATCATGAGTATCAACGACAAATCCACCCATCATGGCGTAGAGGGAATGTGCGTGTGTCCACGGGTATCTTCTCATCTTCGGACCGGGTTCGACGTCCGTATGTTGTGACACTTGCTCAGTTTGTTCGAGAGACCCTGTCGTAAGTCCAATCTTGCCCCACGCGTTGGGGACAGATGGCAAGATGCCTCTTAGGAGTGTTGGCAAATTGTTCACAAAATTTGGGGGCTCTGGCTGACTGAAAGCCTTTCGCATTGTCTTCCCAATCTTTATTGCGTCAATATGCTGACAATAAGCAGTCCAAACGACCTGAATTCAGTCAGCATTCGTTCAATGTGACATAAATGATGTGAGTTACCCATTCTGGAGCAAAAAGTCCTACGACCATCCAGCGTAACTTTCGCCACATTTGTGAGATAGGTCTGTTGTGCTCGGGAATGTTCAGATGAACAGCTGTCCAAATGCATAAGACCATAGTGAGCAGTGACGAAGACAGTATCGAGAACGTGCCACGAGCCAAAGGCTCGGGCTTCCAGAGATGATATTGTGAGCCGTTAGGTATGGTCGTGTTTGCCATGTCATTTGCCGTTCGAGATGAAGTAGAGTCAAGTCATAGACGAAAAGAGCGAGTAACTTCTTTTCTTTTTTGCCGTGCTATAAGTCAATTGCTCCTCAGCTGCGGCTGAGAACCGGTGACATTAGTGCCTTGAATCGCTTCAATAGCGCTTCAGACTGCTCTAAAGTCAGGATGTGGGGTGTAAGGCTGCTTCGCCTCAAAGTCCATAAACAAACGTAAGTCTATCGTCACCTTCTCTGCCTCGTACAGCCTGCTCAAGCCAATCACCAATCGAGGCAAGCTTCGCATGTGACCGCGTCACGTCGATAGCTCTCCTCAGCCACTGCTGTTGCTGCGGTAGCGGTCCTCTACCATGCACTCTCTCTGCCTCAACGTCATCTTCACTCCACTTGCGCAGAATTCCCTGCCTTGTCTCGTTCTCGTGCTTTAAGCGTCTGTAGAAAAGCACATATCCAAACGCCGCTAATGCAACAGACGCAAGTGTCCACCAAAAAGGCACAATATAGCCACCCGCTGCATATTTTGGTCGAAACAAGATAGCTGAGATGACTCCAGCAAGATTGCCCCAGCCATTGATACCGAGGAGCAATGCACGCTTGCCGGGCGATGGTGTGTTACCAGATATCCAGGCTACAGTAAGCGGGGAAGCAATGTAGGTGCCAGAGAGGAGAATGTTGAGGGCGATGTAACGGGGTACTGCCCATGAGCTTGGGAGCAAAACCACGAGAATCAAACCCGCTACCATGATGAGCAGACCTAACATGATCGGCTTGAGGCGTATGCGATGCTTGTCGCTATAGCTGGCGGCGAAGTATAGTACGATGGCTCCACAAATATGTGGCGGTGCAGTGAGCAAGTTGATGAGCGCAGGGTTCGCGTCCTCGGTCAGAGGTGCTAGTACGAGCGGGAGGAAGACGGAGAAGGCATAGACCGGGACGGCGGACAGGACATTACAGGCTAGAATGTGCCAAATCTTGGTGTTGAAGACTGCGGATAATATATCGTGGGGACTGAGTCCATGGTCGTCCACCAGTTGTCGTGTTGGTGTGATTGTGGAGGCCGAATGCTTGGACGAGTCAAGAAGGCCTCGGGACTCCTCGTCGTAGGTATCTTCCGTTTCGTGCTCGTCTTCTTGAACGGCCGCAGGCGCATTCTGTATGTCTCGATCTCTCACAACACGCGCCGATGCATACTGACGTTCCTCAGGTGTTAGAAACCATGCCGTCTCTACGCTGTGTGGTAGCCAGAAGTATCCGATGAATGCCACAACGATAGTGAGTGTGCCCTCAAGTAGAAACAGCACCTGCCACGGTCGCCAATCTTTGTCCGAGCCTTCCTCATCATTTCCGAAGTGGGAGAAGACAAGGTAGCTTATAAGGCCACCGAGAGCACCGCCGACGGCTGCCTGACCGTAGAAGAATGAGAGCCGTCTGCCGAACTCGAAGCGTGTGTAGAAGAGGGAGAGATATGTGACAGTGACTGGGTAGAATCCCGCTAGCCATCATGTCAGCGCTGTACTTATAATGTTCCGAGGATGCTATCCATACCTTCAAGACACCCGATGAGTATGCGCAACGTATAAAGCTGCCATCTATGCCGTACCCACGCATGCAACGCTGTGCATACTCCCCAAAGAATCATGCAACTAGGTACCCAGAGCACCATGCCATATCTTCTTCCCAGCGCCGCGCCGACGGGTTGTAATGCAACGAAGAAGGCGAAGAAGAGCGCGACAGCGGTGTTCAGCGCACCCTTATCTAGTCCGACATCCGCCGTAAAGTGCGCAGATTCTGCATTTCCAATCTGAACCGGATTAGCATAAACTTTTCTTTTTGGGTCGCGGGTACCTACATTCGACTTATCGAGCGCATTAAACAAGAACAGCAGCGCCAGAAACGGAAGTAACAAGCAGTCCAACTTTCTCAGCGTGCTCTTATGCAATCGCGCATCCACGCCATGTAATTCCTCAGCTTCCTCCGGCGGCATTGTTGTGTTTACTGAAGCTGAGGAACCAGGAGCTGCAGCGAGCTCGTACTCATCGGCCATATTGTCGGGCGCCAAGAATCAGCCCACGCGGACGCATCACAGGGTCTGCGACTTCGGATGACCTCGGTCGAGGGTGTCGGATTTGGATGGAATGACTAGAATGTTCAGGGTGAGACATGGCGAGGTTTCTGGAGGTGTAAGACGGGATATGGCCTAGGTTAATAGCGGTTTTGAATAGGGACTTGGACCCTGATCAATTGATGGGATGACGAGGGCTTGGAGATCGACGCCCAGATGGGAAATGGCCGAGGATGCTGCGTCTTATCGATAAGACACGTCTACCAACAAACTGAGAACCAAACACTTTTAGAGTCCTTTAGTTTATCTGAAAATACCAAGAAATACACAATGGCATCATGCGTACGTACTTCAGCTCTGGTATCTGATATGTTGTTCATTGATAGCTTATCTCGAAACGTTTAAACTCGTAGCAATCATTCTGCTTCCGCCGTCTCCAAATCCCTCCTCCCAAACGCCTTAACAGCCTCATAGTACAGCGTAGCAGTAGCCTCACACGGGCCCTTTGCCGACTCATTCGCACACTGATTGAACATGTCCGTTTTGAAATTATCGTCGATTCGCGCCTTGTTCGCTTCGAAGCGGTTTTGCGCCTTGAAGTTACGGTAGCCAAAGTCGTGGCGGTAGCAGGAGTTTATGACTGTAAGCATGTGTATTAGTATGAGAAGAAGAGATGGAGCGTTCGTTGGATGAAATATGGAAAAGGGAATGGAATAATGAGAAGGATAGAGGTAGGAGATGCGAGAACATACAGTCAAATCCAAACGGATTATCTGGACTCGCAGTACACCCGTTACTGGACCAATCTAACTCAGGAGGGTTCTTTGTATTACGGTTTGTGATGAACTCGTCGATGGAGATGTCGAACATATAGCTGTCTGTGACCTGCTCGAGAGACGCCTGGCGCGAAACAAGTGCTGCAGGAGCAGATACGGCAAGCGACGCAAGGCCGAGGACAGTGGCGAGAATGGTGCACTTCATATTGGAAGGATTAGCAAAAGTAATGGAATCGAAATAGCTGGGTATTCACTACAGCTGAGCCGTGACGGCTTTATACCTACCTCGGATTCCACGATGTCTTGTTATGCCGACGTACACGCCCCGTGGTCAGGTCTTTCCCGCTCTTGGAGACTTGCCATGTCAAGGGTTCCTGCATCTGTACCCTACTGCATAACATTTGCATATGTGGTTGCACATCGTACGGCACACCTCGTTGGGTCAGGTCCCTATTCGCTGAATGCGTTGTAGGATCGAGAGAAACAACATGGGGGGATGGCGGAAACGTGCATGCGTATGCCAGATCAGTCGGCTGTGCGGTCTTATGTCGGACTGACCAAGAGATTGGTAGCAGGTGATCCGAGGTAATCTCTTGATTCGCTCTTTCAGAGCCTCAATTACTGCGCATCATGTCGATCGACAGTGTTTGTTGGCTAGTGTAAGGAAGAAGTAAAAATGCCAAAGCCAAGAGCGGGATTTGAGATGAGAGTAAGAAAAAGGGCCGCCATACCTGGAGATGGGTGTTCTGTGGACTCGAACTCATGGTTAGCCTCATCTCGCTACAGTTGAACACAAACCGAACACCAACTCAAAAGATCATATAGACACATGGGGTAGACGTGGAGATGGCGTACACGTAGGTGTCTTCGCATGTGAGAAGCTTAGCTGCCTACCCCACGTGTTATAAATATAGTAAAAGTAAGGGAAGCTTCTTCTGCAAGGCCGCGTACAGATTGGTCATCGGATATGTCGACTGTCATGTTTTTGTGGCTGTGCATCACTCCTGAAGGGAACCCCACAACTAATCACAATCATTTTTCTGTGAGTAGAACGTACGGAGAAAAAACATCTCGGGGAGGGAGAGCCGAGAAGACTGGTGACGAAGGGAATCTGATCGTCCATATGAACCGTCTCGGTAAGCCCCACTTTCGTCAAGTAATGTATGACTGTTGCCGTAGGTGTACCGTGTGTACTGTGGCTGGTCCAATGGGTCAGTCCGCCGAATCCATGTCCTACAAGAGTGTAGGACAGTCCCTAAGAACAAGGAAAGTGTTACTGCAGTCAGCGCTTCACAAAAGAACCACCATTCCTTCGTGCAATGCCATTCAATTGTCTATGAGCATATTCCCACTACTTGTACAGTGCCATCCGCTCTTTCTTGTTATTCCAGTCCCCTCGCTTACAACTTGCTGATGAAGAGACGGGCGGCGAAGAGGCGCACACGCTGGGGAAGGATGTACTTGGAGAAGACGTAGATGAGCGATGGCAGGAGGATGAAGGCCACGGTGGTCTCGTTGACGAAGAAGAAGGGGATGAGCTGGGGCATGGCCGACTTGAGGACGGTCTATCGCTTGTGTTAGCTTCCTTGTCTGGCCGTCTTTCCCATGTCCAATCCATCTCACCATCTGCTGTGGGCCAACCTCGGTCTTCTTGTTCTGGCTCGCGAGGAGAGCGGGACGCGCCATGGCGGCAACGGATGGGCGAGCAGCCATGGGCGCGCGGGCAGCGGCGGCCCTGGAGAAGGGGCGGAGGAAGCGTGCGGCGTTCATGTTGGGCTACCTGTGGTTTTGCGGGTCAGCGCGCTGCTGTGGGGGTCCAATTGGCCGCGAGAGAGCTTTCGGAGGGGAAATTGACGCACTGGACGAGGGATCCGAAGCCTGGGGAGATGAGCGGAGATGGTGTTGCGGTCGCGGGGGATTTGGTGGTGTTGCTATCGTCGTCCGCAAAAGCTCGCACAGCTGCGATCCCGGCACTTGCCGCGTCCGTGCAGAGGGCTTGGCGCTACTTCCTCTTGTCCCGCCAGCTCTCCACATCTTCCCCACGACTACCTTCCATCAACTGTGAATTATTACGCCTCTTATCATACTCTAAGCTCGCCTGCCCCGGCTATGCAAATGCCCCTTTCTGTCTACAGCAACGGGCTATAGTGCGCCAGATCAGCCCTTAGGAATTTGCACAAAGACTGACATCGGATCGGCACGTTGGTCGACATGTAATCATTGGTGTAGAGGTAATTTGTGACTTTTGAATGCATCCACATCTCAGTGCTGTATTTCTTGGTTGTCAATCACCCCTAACATGGTAAAGGAGCTAGTGTTGGCTCTTCCTTTCAACCGTGTCAAGTGCGGGGTGGGCAGTATATGTAAGGACACACGCAGCATGCTGGACGTATGAAAAAATCATTGCCAACCGGCCGATGACACTTCATATCATACAAGATGGCAATAGAAAAAGTCATGATACTAGGGGTAAAGAGAAGCGACGAGACTACCAACCGTCACCACTTCGCTGACAAGACGAGTAGAATTGGGAACTATGCCTTTCCATCATCAACGCCATCTTCCCCCCACAATACAGCAAGCCTGGTACTGCGGAATATCAAGTCACTGTACTCACATATCCTTCACAAACTCTCAGCCTGCCCCCTCATGTCTCCCCTTCCGACGTCCAGCATCAGAAGTCAGACTATACGTCGACTTCACTACAATCAGCCATGACTGGACAAGATCTTGTCATAAGCACCATGTCAGGCGGTGATTCAGATCAACAGATTCGCATTGTCGATGCCGCCGTCGCGGCGGGTGTCAAACGCTTCATTCCTGATGAGTTCAGTCACGACAGCATGAACGAGCACATTCGAGGGCGCATCCCAAAATATGCGGGACGAGCGAAAGTCATTGCCCATCTCCAAAAGATACCCAAAGACCATCCAGACTTTGAGTGGACTGCAATCGCGACAGGATACACGCTCGACACCCAGCTTATCAGCGGCAACATGGGTTTCGACATGGAATGGCATAGTGCGACTATTCACGGTACTGGCACTGAACCATTCTCAGCCTCTAGTCTAGAAAGAGTAGGACAAATCGTCGTTCGCACCATACAACACTGGGACGAGATCAAGAACCAGTATACATACGCTGCTGGTATGATAACATCTGCCAACGAGGTTCTGAGATCTGCTGAGAAAGCGACGGGTCACGAGTTCACCGTAGGGAACTACGACGTCCAAGAGTGTATTGCCGAAGGTCAGAAGAGGATTGAGAAGGGGTACCCCGATTCTGGAATGTTTCTACTTGAACGAAGTGTGCTGTACGACAAGACACTGGAAGCCTCGAGGCCTTTCAAAGACCGGAGCGCAAACAATACAATGGGACTTACCCCAGAGTCAGTTGAGGTTGTCGTAAGCACGGCTTACCACGACTTCAAACACCATGGCAAACCCGGATGCGGTTGTTCATCGTAACACTTACAACCCAAAGTCTCGCGCCCAGCCTTCTCACTTAAATTGCATCGCATATCATCTACCCCAGCACCCACCTCCTCCCCAAATTGTAGTGCCTTCCCAAAGCGTGTCCCCTCTCCCCGCATGATCTCTCCTTCCCCACATACCCCCCTTGCCCCCTTTCCTTCCTTGAACAGAAGTCTGGCAGTCCTTCATACAGCACTCTCACCGATCAAAGCTATGTTGTGCATATGCCGGTTACGCCACGTCGTAGATCCCGTTCGGAACGCCTGGACCCTGTGGATCACTGGCCTCAGAATACGGGTATGAGATCCAGGGATGCGAAGTGAGCGCGTCAGTTAGACTTCCGGGAGGAGCGGAGCGCATGAGTAATTTACTGTGTGGTGGGAAGGTTTGCAGGATCATGTAAGGAACGGCGTGACTCGTGATGAGGGACGCCGAGATGCGGGGCTCAAGGGAAGACTGGGATGGGGAGGGTCGGGGGGAGGTGCTCTAACAGACCCCATGACACCATCAAGAAGGAGTGTAAGCCGACGACTGAAGTCAAAAACGTTGTCACATCGATCCACGACCAAAAATATCACATGTTTCTCCACCTTTGCGGTGAACAGTCTCAGCTTCAACCTCGGTTCTCTTCCCACCAGATCCACCCCACCTATCCATCCAACGACCAACTACGGCCATGAGTCCGAAAAGCCTCATCCATGTTACACAGCCTCACGCCCTACGTGTTCCATGGACGACCCTCAAAAGTCACAGCCTCAGTTTCGGGTTGCTGCAGAACCTGAGACTAGACGGCAAGAACGCTGAAACACGGTATGTGCGGGAGTTGGAGTATTTTTCGTCCGGCAGTTGTGATGGGCGGAACGGAGCGGATGTGTTGTTGGGAATACGTTGTACTTTTCGTGACTGCGATTGAGGTGTTATGGGTGGTTGGGGATGAAGTGGCAGTGCGTGTGTCTCGGTGTGGCTCGGTGCTGGGACGGTTGTGTGAGAGGATTGTGGATCTATCTTTTTGCTTTTACCCGTTGTAGATCAATTTAGTATCCGTCTTTTGATTTTCCTGCTGCTTTTCCCGCTGCTCTTCCCGCTCGAGCCTAATGGTTCTTTTCGGTTTCCAAAAAGAGCGTGTTCAGCAGTTTCGAGTATCACGCAGTGAAGTAGAAGAGGTTCAACAGTTTCGTGAATGGATACTCTCCAATGTTTTGTTGAATTGTTTGCAAATCTGCAGAAGCAAGTCTATAACTACCAAGGTCTACCTACGTGGTAAAGGGGGATATCGCTAGTGTGTGAGTGGGAGAAAGATGGAAAGCGATGCTACTGAAAATGCTGGATGTCGTTCCTTCGTGATATGCCCAATGCAATCGATAGAACTCGCGCGCAACGGAAACGACGCTGTAGAAATGAACGCTATAGACAAGAACGCTGGAAAGGGGTGGGAAAGACGCGAGATTAAAGTGCAAAAACGATCAAAAACGAGAACCCATACAACGCTTTTTGTACGGTGACCTTTTCATGCTACTCCGCCGTTGCAGTGACCCATCGCCGGTAACGCCCACTAAAACTCAGCCCACAATGGTTGCTTGTGAAAGAATGTCTAGGAGTCGTCTAACAGACTCAAATCATGCTCGCGATCGAGTTGAGTGCCGTGGTCGTTGTTCGTATACCAACGAGCTCAGGTTCGCTAACTTGATGCGAGAGGTTCGGTGAATACTGGTGACCGGAGAAGCTCGACAAGCTTTGTAACGGCGTTGTAAACATGCCAACCACAGGTTCGTGTCTGTTGGAAGGCTCGCCGTATGTCTCACCAAACGATGTCGCTGTAGGGGTTCGGAGCGAATGCATCGTGGGCGTTGCAGAGGTTGGTGTAGGGTATGCTGTACTGCTAGGATTGCATGAGGCGTTGACTTGCGGTGTCGATGTTGGTGTCGAGGTTGGCATGGAAGACGGCCCGCTTGACATGCCGTAAGACTGGAGAGACGAGCTGCCGGGTATCGGTGTTGGCGTGGAATGACGGTGAGATGCTGAGTCTGCTTGCGGGAGGTCTTGCTTGATCGGATACGACGAGGACGTAGCTGAAGCGGATGATGCCGCGCGGACGCGTCCAGCTTGTGTCTCACGGCGGCGTTTGGGCCCATCTTTGACTTTGGGGTGTGTGTGACACTGTGTCGTTGTTAGCACCACAGAATGCGACGTAAGGAATACCATCTTACCTTGTATGCATGCCGGAACCACGTCGTTCCTTTCTTCTTGTTGCTGACGAGCGCTATCCATTCACCGCAGCTTCCACAAAGCCCTTCCCATACGTCAAGATTGCCTTCCGTCCGGCGTGTGTCTTGGGGGCCCTGGAATGCCGCACCGGTGGCTGCGCTAACACCATGAGTGAAAGACTTGTCGTACCAAAAAGCGCTATTCTTGAGGACAAGCCATCTGCCGGGCTTGCATAGACCGCACCAGCCTTCTCGTTTGTTGCCATGGCCACGTACCCATCGTGGAGTGTACAAATCGCCAACAAAGCGAAGATCCTGCTCATGTGGGATGAGGTCTGGGTCCGAAGGGTTCATATCGGATTCTGGTGGGTTCAACGCTTCCTCGTGCAGAGACGAGTACAGATCCGGCGGGTCTGAGAGATCTGCAAAGTGAGATGAACAGCCTCCATGACGATCGGCATTACTTTGGAGCAGACGGAAGAGGCCCTGAGAAGGTAAAGGCCTGGGCACTTCGAGATGGAACTGCTGTTGATCTTGAGGCGTGAAGAACGGCTGACTGTTGGGATGCGATGGAGGAGTTTGCGAGTACAGCACATTTTGAGTCGGCAATCCAAAATTGTTGTAGGCACTGGGAGGGTAGGCGGGCATGGAGTGATGCGGGTTCATCCGGGGGCCGTACGGCGCGTAGCGATCCGAGACTTGTGACATTGGGCGCGAGTTGTTCGGAGTCGATGTTGGCGCTTGTCCAGTAGACCACCTCTTGAATCTGTTACTGTCAAGTGTGTACGGCGATGAGCGGATGTTGCCATGCGATGCTGGTGATGTGCGGGATCGACTCCCGCTGCGAACAACCCCGTCATACTGCGGGCGCCGTGGTGACGCAAGAGGCGATAGAAGATGACTGGCACTTTGCTCCGCTTGGTTCCATGTATCATACTCAGACGCATATGAAACTGGTTCGGACGAACCCATCTCTTCGTAAGCTGCCGATTCCGGCAGCACACCGCCTGTACTCGACATCGAGAAGGAAGACTCAGACATTCGTCGAGTAGAATTTGGGTTGAACTGTGCCATATTTTCGTGTTCGTGTTGGCCCATGTTGTTGTACTGGCGTAGGTCGATTATCGGAGTGTTCTCGTCGTGTCCCATCATACCATGGCTGAAGTCGGCCACGTCCGAATCCAGAGCAGGGAAAGACTCTAGCTCTTCACATACTTTCTGACCCCATGGACCTATACTCATTAGCACTGCATACATGCTTGCTTCTGAAGACACTTACTTGTGTCGATGACGTTGGGAAAGTAGTTCGTTGTTGCCAGTGATTGCGGGGCATTCATAGAGCTGCTGTAGATACCACCAGTCGTAGCAGTCGGCTGCGACGTCATCATGTCTGGTCTTCCCATAAATTGCTGCTGGTCTTCCCTCCCGCCTACAGTAGGTCCGCGCGGCGCAGCATAGTACGAAGAATGGGTCTGCGGCACAGCCCACGTGGGCTGTGGTGGCGACGGTCTGGACATAGGTTGCATGCCTTGTTGTTGTTGATGTTGATGATGTTGCTGACTATGTTGAAGGTCTCCGTATGCATACATCGTTTGCATTCCCGGAGCAGATGAGGAATATCCCATAGCGTACTGTCGATTAGGTGACGGGCGGTATCTATGAAGACGATTAGTCTGCGTAGGCTCTACACCATCGTGAATGCTTACTGTTGAACCGCATTGAATTCCATCTTGAGTTTCGTCCTTATATACAACGACCTTAACGATGGTCTGGAAGTAGTCTGCGTTGCAATGTGGTAAGTGACTGTTTAGGCGTTCCATATTGTTCCGAGTTGCTGAACATGATAGTGCTGGACTAGCGACGGCCAAGCCAGGATATGCTGCAGCGCAAAGGAGCAATGACAGATCGGAAAAACTTACATTGGTAACGAAAGTAGAAGGCTGCAGTCAAATGAATGTATCGAGCGATAGCGCGTGCGACTATGGCTGAGCAAATGTGGCGCCGAATGGTATGTAAGCTTCTCAAAAGAGTGTACGAGAACAAAGTTCTCAACGCAGCCAGCGCGGATGGAGCCCGCTCCAAATGAAAGAAATGTATATGAAGATAGTTGGGCAGGATCCTAAAGAGTGACGGGCCAAATAGCAGGAAAGGCGGTTGGAGGGGTTGCTAGGCTATATGATGTATACACGGGGGTTGCAACATCCGAGAAGGAACAACGAAGAGCAATGGTCTCTGTGATTGACGCAACGGAACCGCTTGGGCGCAAGTTTGAGAGAAGTGTCGCGACGCGCCTTGGCTGCAGGTGATCTGGAACGGCCACAGCAGAAGCGTTCACCCAAAAGAGAGTCTGGCGGGGATGGTGTAGCGGGTGGTGGACCGGGCGCAAGGCTGCTGGGATGCCAAAAGGCGATTAGACGCACTTTGAACGGTCGCACCAGTCGTTGTCTCCATGATCCTCTCGGCTGGCTCGGAGAGGCTCCTCAGGGCTGCGCACCAAGTGCCCCATGTTATTGAGGCCGAGCTGTTAACATGGATACTGCGCTGCCACGGCCATGGTGACCACATGCTGACAGGGAGCTGTTGGTCGATGAGTTCAGAGAAAAGGGCATCCCAACACTGGTTCCAACTCGGACTCGAGTTTCAGCGCTCGAACGGGATGGTGCATGTCGTTTATGGAAGGATGGAGTGATGGGAGAGGTTGGCCATGAGATACGCAACTTCCCGCTGTATCAACTCCACTACCAGGGTTTAACCATCCAGTTTCATCATAGCTGGAAAAGTTTTGTCTCAATCGAGAGCGAGTCTGATGGCACGGAGCAGCTGATTGGGAGGGTGGGGGGTGTATCATCGCGTGTGGCGCGTAGTTTGGTGAGGGCGGGGATGAGTCAGCATTCGCTTCCAACTGGCCCACGTCTCTTTACCGCGTCGCGACATGTCCGAAACACTCTTGACACACGTCCAGGGGAACCTGAGACCCACTCTGCTCGCAACGTGTACCGCACCATCAACACATTTCTCGGTTTTTTCTGGATTGATTCGCCG